GTGAACTAAATGCTAAGCTAACATCTACCAAGGTATTTACAGTACAAGAAAAACTGTGAACTAAATGTTAAGCCACATCTACCAAGGTATTTACAGTACAAGAGAGACTGTGAACTAAATGCTAAGCTAACATCTACCAAGGTATTTACAGTGTATGAGTAACTGTGAACTAAATGCTAAGCTAACATCTACCAAGGTATTTACAGTGCATATTAATAATATAATTCAAATACTTAATTCAAAGTGAAGTTACTGATGCATCTTTTTTCTGCATTAAAAGGAAAGTAACAGTAGTTTTTCTAAGCATATCATTTAAGTCAAAGACAGAAGATTAATCTTTTGTAATGTTAGTATTGTGATTAATTTAACTAGTACGTAACTCTCATCCTTTGCTGTGGCTTCAAAGATGATATTATGATTCACAGACCATCCAATGTACTGTTCAATATCATTCATTATTCCCAATTACTTCTAAATCTACACAATGGCATTGTAGCAAAAATGTTTTTCCTTTCCTCACACATTTAAACCTTTAAAACCTTATGTTAAGAGACTCTGAGTTGCATAATTTACCCTGTAAAACATTACATTAGTATACTGTGGGTTGAAAACTTTTTTATTCTACTGTGTTAAAATGTTATGTTTGAAGACTATTGAGTGACGTTCTTCATTTCGTACGTTTACATAATTTACTCTGTAGAACATTACGTTAGTATACTCTGGATTGAAAACTTTGCCTTTCCTACCCTCACCTAACCTACCCTGTAAAACATTATGTTAGTATACTCTGGATTGAAAACTTTGCCTTTCCTACCCTCACCTAACCTACCCTGTAAAACATTGTTACTAAACTCTGGGTTGAAAATTCTTCCTTTCCTACCCTCATCATCACCTGCTGGGACAGCGGTAAGCCTCTGGATTTACAATGCTAACATCAGAGGTTCGATTTCCCTCGGTTGACACAGCAAATAGACCGCTGTGGCTTTGCTATAAGAAAAACATGCCCATATCCTCACCTAACCTACCCTATAAAACATTACATTAGTAAACTCTGGGTTGAAAATTCTTCCTTTTCTATCCTGTAAAACATAATGTTAGTAGGCTCTGGTTTGAAAATTCTTCCTTTCCTACCCTCACCTAACCTACTTTATAAAACATTACATTAGTGTACTCTGGATTGAAAATTCTTCCTTTCCTACCCTCACCTAACCTACCCTGTAAAACATTATGTTAGTAGACTCTGGGATGTAAACACTTCCTTTCCTACCCTCACCTAACCTACCCTGTAAAACATTACATTAGTAAACTCTGGGTTGAAAATTCTTCCTTTTCTATCCTGTAAAACATAATGTTAGTAGGCTCTGGTTTGAAAATTCTTCCTTTCCTACCCTGTAGAACATTACATTAGTATACTCTGGATTGAAAATTCTTCCTTTCCTACCCTCACCTAACCTACCCTGTAAAACATTGTTAGTATACTCTGGATTGAAAACTTTGCCTTTCCTACCCTCACCTAATCTACCCTGTAAAACATTATACTCTAGGTTGAAACCTCTTCCTTTCCTACCTTCACGTAACCTACCCTGTAAAACATTATGTTAGTATACTCTAGGTTGAAAACTCTTCCTTTCCTACACTGTAAAATATGTTAGTAGACTCTGGTTTGAAAACTATTCTGTAATTGTACTTTTATAACCTAAGTTTACAATTAGAATATACTTTATTACACTGTACCTAGTTTGGTGTTTATCAGTTAGACATGTCTATCATTCTGTAATCTAGTTAGCAAAATGTATGTAACAAAATCATTAGAAATTTCAGCTGAGACAACCATGAAAGTATGTTTGATTGAAAAATGATTCATACTTTAATAAATTGTTCCACCGCAGCTTATTAGCATGTTTAAAAATAATAGTCTAAACTTTTCTAACTGTGATGAACTGCTCCATTACCACTTTTTAGCATGTTTAAAAATAATAGTCTAAACTTTTCTAACTGTGATGAACTGCTCCATTACCACTTACTAGCATGTTTAAAAATAATAGTCTAAACTTTTCTAACTGTGATGAATTGCTCCATTACCACTTATTAGCATGTTTAAAACTAATAGTCTAAACTTTTCTAACTGTGATGAACTGCTCCATTACCACTTATTAGCATGTTTAAAACTAATAGTCTAAACTTTTCTAACTGTGATGAACTGCTCCATTACCACTTATTAGCATGTTTAAAAATAATAGTCTAAACGTTTCTAACCTTGGTAGTGCCTAGATTTATGATTAATCACAAATATGGTTTTTTAAAATTAAAATTTTTATCCTAACAGTTTTGTTATTCAGTATACACTAGAAGAAGTTCAGGATGGAGAGGGGAGAACTTTATTTTCTTACACGAAGCAGCGGCAGAGATATCTGGGATATGTAAGTTGCATCCTCTATAGCCATAGTGGGTTGTAAAACAGAAAGGTTTCTTATATGCTTAAAAAATTTTTCTTTATATCTTAATTTTTTTTTTGCTTAAGTGAAAAAGTTGAATGAATTTGCAAAAGCATATCATGTAACTGGTAGAACTGTTTAGACATATCATGTAACTGGTAGAACTGTACAGACATATCATGTAACTGGTAGAACTGTACAGACATACTGTGTAACTGGTAGAACTGTACAGACATACTGTGTAACTGGTAGAACTGTGCAGACATACTGTGTAACTGGTAGAACTGTACAGACATATCATGTAACTGGTAGAACTGTGCAGACATATCGTGTAACTGGTAGAACTGTGCAGACATATCGTGTAACTGGTAGAACTGTGCAGACATATCGTGTAACTGGTAGAACTGTACAGACATATCGTGTAACTGGTAGAACTGCAGACATATCGTGTAACTGGTAGAACTGTGCAGACATATCGTGTAACTGGAAGAACTGTGCAGATATATCGTGTAACTGGTAGAACTGTAC